GGGCTCAGGGGGGTTGTTTGGGGGGGGTTGTTTGAGGAGTTGTTTGAGGAGTTGTTGATGATGTTGGTTTTTTGTATCTTTCTTTTATATTTTGTTGTGATTTACGTGGAAACTGTTCTGTTGGGTTGTACGTTTTTCAATGCTTTATTTATTGTTTATGACTACTTTTGTTAGGTTGTAGCTATACATTTTTCCATGTCATAAGCTGCCTTGAGCATGGTTTGAACTGTGGAACTGTGGAAAGGTGACATAAAATAAAATTATGTATGCCTAAGGTTTGATTGTGGGTTCTGTATGTGTTTCCAAGTTGGGTTCTTCTACTGGGACAGAATTTGTATGGTTATGTCTATCATAACCAGAGAAATACATTCTAATAGGTAAAAAGATAAAGGACCCTGGACAATTAAGTCCAGTCAGGGGAACTATGGGCTGCGGCGCTCATCTCACTTTTCAGGCTGAGGGAGCCAGCATTTTTCCATAGACAGTTTTCCACATCATGTGTCCAGCATGACTAAATCACTTCTGGTGCAACGGAACACTGTGATGGAAGCCAGAGTGCATGGAAACACATTTTATCTTCCTGCCACAGCAGCACCTATTTCTAATAGACCTAAGTAACAGCTTTAGAATTTTTTCAGTGGGATTTTTGGAACATGTGGGTCAGCTTCTGCAGACCCATGTTAACTTCAGGACTTCTCTATAATATTTTATGCTGAGGGGAATTCTTTTATTATTAAATCCAATTGAATCTTATATTTCATCACTCTATAATATATGCAGTTGTCTCCTGAGGCCACATCTAGTCTTACTTACAAGATATCTCTTCCCCAGTCTTGGGGAGGAAAAAATATGACTCACCTTTGTAAGTGAAGTTTCATAAATCAAATGAGAAGTATTCGCCAGTTACCCTGAGATCTATATGGACGAAGCCTCAGGGTACCATAATAATTTATACAAGGAGATTGAAAAGGATGACCACTTGATAAAATAGAGAGACAGGAGTCTGAGAAATACAATTACACTTACCTACAAAATTTCATACAGAGTGACTTAGGACTAGTTTATAATTAGGTATAAGGTTCTTATTTCTGCTATCAAAGTAAGAAATGTTGTAGAAGCCATCAATATCTCATTTGCAGATCCCACTGGAATTAATTAGAATTGCACAGAATTTCAGCAGTACTTTTTTATGGAAGCATATGCGGTTAACCTTTTTTTGTTGCTGCTGTTGGCAGCAGTTGAGCTTGGTAACAACTATTATGGCAACCAGCAACCATGTGTACTGAGAAGAAGAAGAGGAGGAGGAGGAGGAGTTTGGATTTGATATCCCACTTTATCACTACCCTACGGAGTCTCAAAGTGGCTAATGTTCTCCTTTCCCTTCCTCCCACACAACAAACACCCTGTGAGGTGAGTGAGGCTGAGAGACTTCAAAGAAGTGTGACTAGCCCAAGGTCACCCAGCAGCTGCATGTGGAGGAGCGGAGAAGCAAACCCGGTTCACCAGATTACGAGACTGTCGCTCTTAACCACTACACCACAACAGGCAGTGGGTTCTGCCAGCACCACTTTATGTGGTTAAAACACCCCACAGTATGTTAAAAGCTTTTAGTCCCACTGCATTTCCACTACTTCACAGCTATTAGTATAAGGCACATGTGTTGAGCTTCATGTATGAACTCAGCATCTGTAAGGTCATGAAAACATGAAACTCCTTGCCCCAACAAAAGCTCTTCAAAAGGTGTACAAACAAAGGTCCCTCATACATTGGGTGGAGGGGACTGACCCACCAGTACCACCCTTGCCATCTGTTCAGTTGCTGTGTGAAACACAAAAGAATATGCGTGCAAAGGGAATCATTATTCATTGCAGGCTTGCCTGTACATCAGTAGTCACACCCCAAACACGTGGTCAGCATGTGTCTCAGTAGTGAGGCTACCCTGTATGCCTCCCCCCAACACATGCTTTTTAATGAGTGAGGGCTTTATCTGAAATGGCCTAATATTGGGCTGTGATCTTGCATGACAAAAGTCCCTGCTGTCCAAATCTTGTATTTGGATTCCAGATGTCCCCCCACCTCCAAAAACAGAATGATGGCTGCACCTACGTGACTTCATTCAGAATCTTGTATGGCCAGAGCTTAACCCCTGGTGTTGAGTTTGTTCGGCCCCTGCAAAGCTGAGTGATTTGATATTTGCCTGTGGCACTAGGCAGTAAACGTGAGCAGTGGTGTAAACCACATTCACCCCTGAGGCACTCTCAGATATTTAACCAACATTGGTAACATTGCTGACCAGTTCAAGTGGATTGCATTGGTATAATTCCCTTGGAATCTGGGGGCACATGCTTCCAAACACTGAACAGCTGGGTGGGATGGGCAAACAGGTGCCCTTTAACTCACCATGATGAGCTAGCAATGAAAGGTTCACATCAGTTTAAGGATGGGTACTGGGCATCTAACCTGGGTAGGCTTGCTCAGGTAAAGATCCAGAGGGTCTTTATCCTTTTGTCTATGCAACTTGAATATGCGTGCAGCAGGTGAGTTTCATATTGGTTTACCAATATTGGTTCTTGTCTCTTGAGATCTCACTCCTGGGTGTGTGGGGAAATGCCCATTTCACCATTTAATCTGGATTACACCCAAGAACAGGTGTTTGTCTTGTGCTGTGTGAAATCCTTGTTTGAAATATTTACTGAAATCTCTCTTCTCCTATGTTGGGATTCAAGCCTTTATCAGGAGAAACTGGCCACTCTCCAGGCACCCGGCTTGATCTCCTGTTGACCTCCCTGTCTGCATTCCTGGCAGGATCCAGGCTAGGTCGCGATAGGCGATCCTCCTCAGCGTGAGAAGAACACCCCCCCCTCTTTCCTGCCCCCCTGGGCAGGGGAGAGAGATAGACAGAAACGTATTTACATTCCTTTATTTCTGTCTTTCCAGCGTTACAAAAATCATGTCTGCTCTCTTCAAACTCCTGCAGTCGAGAGACAAACTCCTCCTGTACTTCCTGTACAGCTCATATTACACTCTGAGCTAATTCCGGTGCCCTCTGCACTGTGAATTGACTGTCCCTCTGTTTCCCACGGAACAGTCCCAACATTCCCATTATGTTTTGCTTTCAAGCTACCAGCTCGCGGCCGCATTGCTTCTATATCGTAACATCCTAAACCAAATCTGAAAGAGTGCCACCTTTTTGAAATTCAGAAGGCAACTACAATGGGGATTAAGAAGGATATCTAAATACTCATTAAAAGGCATTACAGTTTAAGAAACTTAGTAAGATTTAGGAAGCTTTCAGCAGAAGATTGGATCAGCTCCCCTCAGTGAGAGAACCCAATAGCTTCAGTATTACGAAATACTTTCTTAAATGCAATCTTAATATAATAACTGGAGTTTTCCCACCCATGCATGTTTGACTTCACCCCATCAAACATTTCCTTTCCTTAACAGCTTATTGAATTCCAATTTTAAATCCTAAGAAACATCCAAAGAGAAGTACAAGCTATCCAGCTTCCAGTCACAAAGCTAACCCCTACTTCCTTTTCATAGAAATACATGCTTAAACACAATAATTCAAGCATGTAATAATGGTCCCTAAGAACCTAAATCCAATATTCTGAGAAAACCAAATGTAGTACCAATTTCAGTCTTGCTATAATTGGCAAATTGTCACACTTACCAACAATGGATGTCAAGAGAAAGCAATGATAATCATAATCAGCCACTGATAACTGTACAGAGATACAAGCTCAACAACAAAAATGTTACTAGGAAGAACTGTTTAAGTGCATTTGCCTGATATGCCTATTTTGTTGAAAATAAGTCTTGAAACATACAGTACTGCTGTTTTTGAAGGAGCTCTTCTCACAAAACATCAGTTGGTGAATAAAACATATTGGTTGTAGCCTACCAAAACCTACTCAGAGTAGACCCATTGAAATTAATTACCCTAAATTAGTAATGTGCATTAACTTCAATGGGTCTACTCCAAGCACAACTAGCATTGGATACAACCCACTGGCTGAAATAAGAAAGCAATCATTGCTACAAAGCACAACATTAATAACAATTACTTGAGAACAGGTAGATTGATTTTCCAAGCGATCCACCAGTGTTATCTGCAAAGCTTCCTATGAGCACGCCCATACAAAAGCAGAAATACATCAGCACACACTTATACTGAATGTATTAATGGAAACACATTCCACCAACTATAAAAAGTGGATACTCTCAAGCAACATCTGGATCACAGCCCTTAGCTATTGCCCCTTGTGAAGGATAGTTATCAGTCTCTCCGTTATAAACCAGTGACTGAAATACTGAATTAATGAGACCCTGTGTCTGCAGTACATTCCAATCCTGTATCCCACTAGCACACCCACCACCTCCTAAAACAATGGCTAGCAAAACCATCATAAGACATAAGGGGACAAACCTTCTTTGCCCCCTCTCCCTCTGTAATTCAAGCACTAGCTAAAACTTCACATCTTCTAACAAAAATATAAAAAATGTACAAATAAACATTCATTTTAGTAAGTCCTACATTCATATTTTAGGTAATCAATATATGCTAGCATTTGACCAATATAAATGTTAAGAGAACATGGGAAAGGAATCTTTTTTCTCACAATAAGACCAAGCCAATTTCTATAGACTAAGAGAACTAATTCTGTCATATTCCTCTACATTCCCTAATTGATTAACATGAATGAAAGCAAGATTTGCTATTCCAGGTCAGTCATCATAATTTTGACGCTAGTCAACAAGAAACACCTTATCAGTTTGACCTGCTGCATTGAATCCAACCAGTGGCCAGTTCACAACTTGCCACCGCAAAACCAAAGCCAATTCCCATGCTCTGCTATTTTATAAATAAAAAATGTTCATCAGTCAACAATGTATATGTTTGGCTTGAATGCAGATGATTAAGGAGACCGCAATCCAGAAGTACGTATCTATACCAAAATACAAGCTGTAAAATATTCCACCCTCAGAAAGCCTACCTTCTTGAACTGCCTGGAATGGGTTGTTGCCATCCACAAAATTCACAGAAATTGTGATTTTCTCCGTCTGTAGGATTTCATCATTCTGGTTGAGATCAGAAACTGCCATGCGAAATACCTCCTCATCCTTTTTTGCAGATTCATCAAATATTGCCCCTAGAAAGAAGGCATGTGGATAATTAAGAGCAGTACTACATATGAACGGTGCAGAGATTCAGGATGCAATGCATGAAGACACGTTTTGCTGATAATTCAAAGGCATGAATTTAGTTTGCAGTTCAGCACAGCCACCTGTTTATGAGCAAGCCAAGAAATTTGTTAACGATGCTTGGCATGGGTTCAATATACTTTAGGGCAAAATAAGGAGGATGTCTGACCATACAACAACAAAAAATGATTTGCAGAAATTATGGTAGGCATGGTCTAAGTAATCCAAAATGGAATGCAGCCAGGAGACAGAGGTAATAACCTTACAAACTATAACAGATTGGCGAGCTAGGATGGCTCCTGCAAATGACAATTAGGGAACATAAATTTGCAATAAAAGATACAGCAGCTGGCAAGATCAACAACAGGTGGGAGTGTGGTTAATGACAGCATAGCTACAGCAGCATCCTACATGTCCAACCTGCTATGCTGCATGTAAGTTGTACTGTAACTGCCTATCATGATCCTGAATTCCTTGCTTTTGGGGTGGTGGACATGCGATCCACCATTACACCACATTTAATTTCAATGAGTGCAGCTGGCATAGTAGCCTTGAACTACATTGCTCTGCTGGTACAATGCTGAGGTCCATGTACAGTAGTGTTATCCATCTTAAAAGTTGCAGCATTATGTTTTTGATCCTAAATCTGTCATCACAATGGTTGACTCAGACTCTTTGCAAAATTTCACAGATACCAACAGAGTATATTTCACTTTATGATGAACCATAGTGTGGCCAGATACAGAGAACAACATAGCCCATGTACCGAAGCAGAAACCTTGTTAGGAACAGGACCAAGGAAAGTTTAACCTATAGAAAACCCTTCTACATAACTACAAAAAAATTAGGGAGTGATTCATTCTGTTGCATCTGGCCACCACTAAAAAATCCCTACTGTAATCTAGGGAAAGTTGGAGGGGTTTTTTGAAGTTTATTGGGGTTTCCTCAATGAGGTGACCAAGAACAGAAGACATGCTTCTCTGAATCTTCTGCAACATACAGATACAATGTGAGTGTAGGCAGACCCTTTTGAATGTCTCATCTTTAATGGCATTTGTAGCCCAGTTCACAACTTTGATGCACAACACGGATAGTTGGGCTCCAACTACCGGCATAGTCAATGGACAAGGAAGACAGGGGTTGATGTCCAACCAAATCTGGAAAAGGGGTTAGCTACCCATGCTCTTAAAGGAGCAGGGGTTCCGTGGCTTTCTTAGCGGACAATGCCCTGAAGGTGGGGGAAATGTGAAAACTACTGTCCTACATCAGAATGCAGATTGCTGAGAGACTATTTCATTCCTACTTCCTTGCATTAATCTTCGCAATATAACATATATTGCATTATAACGTAAGTCCTTCACACACCAGTCAAAACAGGTTATGAGGACATCCTAGAGCAATGTGTTCTCAGACACATCCTGTGTTTTAGAAAAAGAACAAAACCTCATTGCCTTAATTTATCATGGTCTCCTTTCCGTATCCTCCACCATCAATTTTCCTGCCAGCTCTATTCATTCAGTGCCAGCAGGCTCCCTGCACAAAAACTTTGTCCACTTTGACCCAGGAGTTTTCTTCTCTGCATCTCTTGCCATCTGGAGCAGCTGTTTCATACCTCTCCATCTCAATGACCTGTCATTTCCTTGCAAATCTCAGCTGAAACACGAACATTTTTCTTCCTTCCTTCTTAATTCCTCTGTCATTTTGCCAGAGCGTTATTTACATACAGAGTAGCTTCACTTAACTTCTTGAAGGCATTGTGGGCTCCTGGCAGCAGCTGTTGTGAAAAGTGGTCTCCAGTGGAGACAATTGGTAAGCACTATTTAGAGGTGAGAGCCATTTAATCCTAGCCCTGGTAAAATGGTTTTGGTGTCTCACACTTCTAAACGGACTCAGTTCCAGAACAGTGAACCAAGTGGTATTTTGGAGCTTAGAACTGATGCTCATCACACCAACACAGACCAACATACACTGATAAAAAGGTTGTTTCCACTGGGCAAAAATAGAGTATTGCTGCTTAAATCCCACCTGACAGATGACAAAAAAGAGAAAAGTTGATGGGTGGGCAACCTGTGGCTTTCCAGGTGTTGTTGGGCTCCAACACCCATTATCCTTGGTCATTGGCCATGCTGTCTGGGCTGATTTGAGTTGGAGTTTAACAACTAACAGGTCAAGTTCAAGGTATTACTATTACTATTTCTATTAGTATATACCGTAGTCCCTAACAGCTTGGAACCAGTTTACTTGCAGGATCACCTTACCCCATATATGCCCTCTCAACCATTTATATCTGCAAAACTGACACTGTTATAGGTGTCAATATTCATTTTGCTTTTGTAAGAAACAGTTCTTTCAGTGTGGGACCACCTACACTTTAGAACTTCCTGCCTAAGGACATCAGGCAGGAATCTTTGCTGTATTCTTTTCAGTGCCTGCTTAAAGGGCTTTTGTTCAGGCAAGCCTATCCGAACATGTAGGAGTTAATTGTATTATCTTTCTAGCTACTGTTGATTTTAATCATCTTTTGAATCCCTTTAAATACCTGTTTAAACTGTTTTCAACAAGAATTTTAATGTTAAATTTTATATTTTTGTAAACTGTATAGGTTTTCTTACAATCAAGTGGTCTACAAACTTTGTTAATTAATACTGGGAGTGCGAAAGGTTCTGCACCATGCTCTATGAATAAAAAGTATATATAATTATTCCCCAAGTGTGGGGAATGTGTTCTGTGTAGTCAAAACTGCACCTGCCACATGCATGTTTGGTTTTATGTTTTTATATTGTTGCAAACTGCTGTAATATATTTTTATGATACAACAGTATATAAACATTTTTATAAATAATTCCATAAGTAAATAAATGGTTTGCAGAAATACAAAATTCTATTCTATAATGTATAAACATTTCCATTTTGCTGAAATTTATTTTGCTGTTTTATTTATTTCAACTGGTCCATGCTCTGACATCTGAATTTGCTCGAAGGTGGGACCTGTATTTGTAAATGTATTTGTATATGTTTTTTTATCTATTGAGTTTTGTATGCCACTTGGAGTTTTTTTCATTAATGTTAAGTGGGTTTTAAATGTTCTTAAGTAAATAAATAAGCTACAACTAACTAATTCTGTTGGGAAGAATCACAGAGACTGAGGGAGTGCATTGCAAAAAAAAAAAAAAAAGTATAAGTAAATATCATGGGAACATATTCTTGTATGCACATGTAAACAAGAGTAATCCAAAGTGGATTAATATAGACTTGAGTATCTCAACTAAGCACCAGCTCTTCTACTATATCACAAGTATTCGATAATTTAAACAAAAACCACAGTCATTTTATGTTCTAATGAACATTGCTTAATATGATTGCTCCTTGTCCCCAGTGACATTGTTAGTTCGTTCCAGTGTGTGAATCCAATTACACTGCGTTTCCAAACTGCTGATATTGCATTATTATCCTATACATGAGACCCAATATTGCTACAAGGTATGCTTGCGTGGCGGGCTCAGTTACAGGACAGAAAAACAAACACAAGAGTTCCCTAGTTATTCACGAACTGTTTCTGTGACCACAGAAATGTCATCAAGGCATCATCTTACCCATCTGTGAAATTAAACTATTTTATTTAAACTGAAGCTTGAATGTTTAATGTTTCTAAAATAAGGTTAGATCATTGGAATAAACACCATTTTGGACCTTGAGTATATATTAACTTTCTACCCGGTTAATTCAAACTTTATTGGTATTCTTTCTTCCTCTTCTGTTTGCTGACAAGAGTCTGTATCATGCCTGCCCATGACTGAGACCTGGGGGTGGAGTTTTACAATATGGTCATTTATGCAGCTTGTAATAGCCCATGACATTTACCACTACAGTTTTCCCAATGGAGGGGCTTGGCAAACAACCAGACACATGTGACAATGACAGTGGGGAGAGGGTGGGGCCAATGCATGGGCTATTAAAGCCTGCTTTTCTCCTGGTGTCTTCAGTTGTGGGGCCCCAGGAAGTGGTGGAGCAGGAAGACCTCCCTATTCACCTGGAAAGGTGGAGCTGAAAAATGAGAGACGCCTGGCCCTTGGCAAGGCTCCTACATGGTTTAGTTAGGCCTTCCTCCCCCTATGCAGATCGGTTTCGGGGATTAAATATTTAAATAAATGTGGCACAGCTCACCCAGTCCTTGCTCTCCACACTGCTACCACTCTGCTCTCGCCCACCCTACCCCTGCTGCCACTCTTGCGCATGTTGTCCTACACTGTGTCCACACTCCTGTCTATCTGCCTCTGCTTCCCTTCTCTCACCTTCTGTTCCTGCTTCCTTGAGTATGTGCATTTCAGGGCCATCATCATTATGACAATACAAATACAGTCATACATTGGAAGTCAAACAGCCTAGTTCTCAAACGTTTTGGCTCCCAAACAATCGAAACCCAGAAGTGACTGTTCCGGTTTTCAAATGTTCTTTTGGAAGCCAAACGTCCGAGGGGCCTTCTGCGGCTTCCGATTGGCTTTGGTTTTCGAACATTTTGGAAGTCAAACAGACTTCTGGAATGGATTCTGCTCAACTTCCAAGGTACGACTGTATAGTATTGAAAGTAATAGGCCAAAACAGTTGCCTGCATTTTTCCAATTTCACTGGGGGTGTGGCTATGTGAGGAGATTACAATGAAGCTACTGAACTTCAATTTTTACTGCTACAAGAATTTACTAGTACATACTGGTTTGGAGGGTTCACTCACACCATTGCTTGCCTGTTCAGACATGAGAACAAACTACGGTTTGATTAATCCAGGAAGTGTTATATTAAACCATGTGACAGAGGGAAGAAAAGGAGAATAAAGAACATTTGATCCAATATCCATACCCAGTCCTCAAGATCTGGAGGATTAGCAAAAACGTGTCTGAATGCAGATGAATGTATTTGCTTTTTTTCTATGACAGAATTCTGTAGGCAATTC